GCCTCAGACAACTCGGGCCCCCTCCCCCAAGCGGCGTGGCCACTGTCCACACAGCACGCACACTCCTACAGGACCAGCCATCGATCCCCCAACACGCGCGGGGCAGGAGGGGACTCCAGCGGCCTCAGTGTCAGACCACCAGGCGCCAAAGCCCGCCTCCTCCGGACCAGAGGGCGTTGTCATGACTAAGAGCCCCTACATTCCCCAGAGCGTACTAGAGTCACGGGTACGCCGAGTCAGAAGACAGTGCGATCCCCTTAACTAACAGTTCTGCTTAAAAGGCTTCCAAGGGACGCCTGGGTTGCTCAGTCAATTAAGCCTCCGACTTTGGCTGAGGTCATGATCTCAGGGTTCCTGCGTCCGAGCTCATCAGGCTTTATGCTGACAGCAGGATCCTGCTGTCTCCTTCTCTCTCTGCCCCTCCCCCTGCTCGTACTCTCTCTTTCTCAAAAATAAATAAACATTTTTTAAAAAATTTAAAAAAGACTTCCAAGATCCCTCAAAGGATATGGAAAAAGTTCCATACACTATGGTTGACTATCCCCTGCAGAAAAGCATGAATTTGGCAATGACCTAGAATTTAGATTGAACTGACACTTACCAATCTCAACCACTAGAGGGCCTTGGAACACCCATCGTTTATAGTGACCACAAATCTTCCTATAAAGTATGCAGGTCCCTCTGCAAGGTGGTCGCTCATCTGGACGGGCTCCAGCCCAGATTGGCCACTTGCTGAGTGTGGCAGAAGCCTGCGGTAGTGGTATGGAAGTCCTCACCCTCATAAGACATGGCCCTGAGACTGCCAGGCTAGGAAGTGATGTGAGAGGCCAGACGCCGGGGGGTTGGAAGCACTGCCAGGCACAGATGAAACCATCTTGCACGGTCCAGTCCAGCAAACCCCGCAGCTGTGTTTAGCCACATGAAGGAGCCAGAAGAAACCAAGAGGAACGGCCCAGCCAGCCGAGGGAACATCGATCGGTAATAAACTGCTATTTTAAGCCAGTGAGATCGGGGTCATTTGTTACTCAGCAGTAACTGATATTCTCAGCAAGTGACTGAACATAGCGGGTTTGGCTTTTTGATGGTTGGAATATTAAAGGTTGTGCAATACACAACAAAGTGCTTTTGAAGTTCAGGTGCCATGCTACACAGATTTTAAATCCCTCAGGGCTAGTAATTCAGTGAAAAGAACAGAAATATTAAGTACAAAGGATGGCAATGAGAGTTACATATTTAAAAAGCACGTAGGGGCGCCTGGGTGGCTCAGTCAGTTAAGCAGCCGACTTCAG